TCCCCCCGCCCTAATCGCATGACTCCAATCGATTCGTCCGTTGGGGGCCCAGTCCGGCTCGCTTCCACGGCGACGACGACGGTGGAACCGGACTTGGGTCGCCACGCGCAGCGCCCCGTGTCTTGGAAGCGTGGTTTTAGATTCAGGGTTGCCACAGTCAGGAAAAACCGGGAAATGTCAAGGAATTTTAAAAAGTCAGGGAAAATGACGAAAATGTTTGGGAAAAGTTGTTAAATCACCTTCATTTGCTTTCTAGAATGAATTTGAGGTTTCGAACAACAAATTATGCCTGAAAACTATTCTCAATTATGTCCTCTTAACCATCCGTCACATCTTCAAAGGAGATGTTGCATGTGTGAGGAATTTGCGATTTGACTGTTGTTTCTTACGTATAAGTTCGCGAGAAACACGATGGTGCCACTGGTTTTCCCTGAAATCAACTCTCAAGCTCAGAAAAAGCTCTCAAGTGGAGGCCAAAATGGGGGGGATATCCCACGCTATCCTGAGAGTCCACCTCTACATCAAGAAAATCTCTCCATGCAAAGATAGGAGCAAATATATTGATAGGGCTCCCACTTTATTTGGGGACTCTAAAATTGAAAACACGGCAAAACTGCTAATGTATTTGCTCTCTATCTTTGCATGGAGAGTTTGTCTTGATGTAGACGTGGACTCTCAGGATAGTGTGGGATATACCCTCCATTTTGGCCTCAACTTGAGAGCTTTTTTTTGAGCTGAGGAGTTGATTTCAGAGAAAACCAGTGGCACCATCGTGTTTCTCGCGAACTTTTACATAAGAATCAACAGTCAAATCGCAAATTCCTCTTTTACGCAACATCTCCATTGTCAGGGAATTCCGCCAAAATGTGTCAGGGAAACCAGGGAATCGTCAGGGAATTTCATTTTCTAAATTCTGTGGCAACCCTGTGGATTGGTTTTTTCGAAGGGAACTTGATTCCAAAAATTGGACACCATTTTGCAATGCGGAACTATACGTCCGACTCGGTTAGAAACGACGTATGCAACATTAGTTTCCCCATGCTTATGAGTGGTTTTACGGATGAGCTAGGAATTGTAGTCACTAATAGCAATATGTAGTCCAGTTGAGGCATTACTGTTCTCCTCGGAAACGATGCACGCTAAAATCGTCCCATGTTGTCTCGCGAATCGAGGGATTTTCTCGAAATTCGTCCCGGAATCCATGGAAAAGTTAGAGAACTTCACCTCTGCTCTGTGTTCACTTTGCTAATCCTTTATTTATGCATATCAGAGAATGATACTTGACTTGAAATTCACACGTGAACTAATTTTTTTTTTTTTTTTTTTTTTTTTTTTTTTTTTTTTTTTTTTTTNTTTTTTTTTTTTTTTTTTTTTTTTTTTTTTTTTTTTTTTTTTTAAAAAAACTTTTTTGGCGTCCTACTTTTCCATTTTTTATTTTTCTGCGGGGGCAGATTGGCGTTTGTTTATCGTGAGTCTCGCAAAATCCGCACACTTGCTACTTGAGTTTTACGGTTTCGGGGCCACGGTTATTGTGCGATGGCGCCACTCAGTTCTAACGTAGTATTTCAACTGAATTTTCACATGAGCCCTGGAAATAATGGAGTCTTAGGACTCATGGAGCTCATCTCAAATCTCAGTCATTCATTGATGTCAGGTGAGCGCGAGGCGACGAATGATATTATTTCACGGTGGCCCTTAAGTGGAGCACGGAGGTAACGATCCAGCCGACTCATTGATTTTCCAAAGGAGGAGCTCCGAATCAGAACGCGCGGTATTTCAATTCAGACGCATTGTCGGCTTCCATTTATTTGATCAAATTGATACCTAGGCGAAGAAAATGGCTATTGTTTTACAAGCACGATACTTCCTCCGACGGACAATGGAATTGATGAGTTAATTGTTTTATCTGATCGACCCGGACTGATCTGATTTTGCCGCTCTGCGCTGGATCTTTCTCCCCGCGCAGAGTTTACAAACTCATCTTGGATGGGTTTGTAACTCAGTCAGAGTGTTGAAATCATGATCAGGAACAGTAGGTCCAGTAGGGGGAATCCATGGAGTAAGCCGAAATACTTATATTTTCAGTGGCGAGGAGTAAATGATCGATTATCGATATTTCCCCATTTGAAGGTATAGTATAAAGAATCGATTATGTTCGTCGCGAACACCCTGTTTATGGATCCTTTTCCACAGGTTTAAATGGCAGATCAATCGATATATCCCAAAGCACGCCACGCCACACTGGTAAAAAAAAGTAGCTTGGATCTAGAGTCCAGACTCTTAAAAACATTGACAAGAAAAAATACTCTTGATTCAAATGGAAATCCGCTTAAATCAAGAGGCTTGGCTCTTCGATTCAAGGGAAAATCCGATTGATTAAAGAGTGTTTTTTCTTATCAATGTTTTTAAGAGTCTGGACTCTTGATCCAAGCTACTTTTTTTACCAGTGCATTGTATTTCGCTTGCTGTGGGATGTACTTAGTATGCTAGGAAATACATGGAAGCAGTAAGATCTTATTCTCCCTCCAATTTTTTTTTTTTTTTTTTAACCAAAATTAATAAGTTAATTTAGTAAACTTAGTAAAGATTTTAATGAAATACTCGGTCAGTTGTTGCGGGTTGCATACGGTGCCCCTGAAAAATCGCTAAAATCTCATTGGAAATACAATTTCATCCCGTGAAATTTCCATCTGCATCCCCGGTTCTGGTTAATCCAAGGCTTAAGAAATCTTGAAAGACTGAGCAGTTCTATCGCTGGGTAGGGTTTTAACTGTTTGGTTGTTAGGAATTTCTCCGAGGTTGTAGAGGTGTTGTTAATGCACGCTACCGAGCTGGCTGACCTGCAGCGCGTGGCGCAACCTGTAATTACATGCTCCGTACGAAAAATTAAGGTATGCTTCTCGAAGCAGGAAATGATGAAGGAAGAAGTGCCGCTAAGAGCCGAAATTAGCTCTACTGCCCGGCCCCCTGCCTTTCCCTTGGCTGTCTTAGCCTTCCTTCAACTCCAGCATTTTTCACACTTTAAGGTCCATACTTTCGGTGATTCTTCGCCACGTTGGATAACGATTCGATAATCGATTGCTAATATCTGAATTTTAGATTATGTAGTTTTTTTCGGTAATTACTTTTTCTTCTTCGAACTAGTGTAATGTGTCTTGGATGACAAATTAAGTTTTCTATTAAATTAAGAAGAACCCTATTTTAAAACTTAAAAAAAAACTTATTTGATGACCTAAAAAGTTGCAAAAATGAATTCTGTCTCCTAAAAATCGTTTCTTTGCCTTAAAATGTTTTCTTTAATTGAAAAACAAGAATTTCTTTTAAACTTCAAAGAAATGATCTTTACCACTTTTAAATTTAACAGTGACGATGAGCTGAATGAAAGATGATGGCAGTTTTAAAACGAAATGATGATGATTTTCATTTAATAAGTCGAATGCTCCGTGAAAATCTCTCCAGATTGAATTGCTTCAATTCGTATCGAAATTCCCTCGTGTATCCAAACCCAACGAAGACGAAGAAGTCAGTTTAGCGCTGTCGCCTTCTGGCGGTTACCCACTGCACTAATTCTGCTGTGCTAAGAAAGAACGCCGTATGAGCATTCGAATGTTGTCAAATTTCCTCTCCAAAAATATCTGTTTTTGAAGAAAGTTAAAAATAGTTTTCCTTGAAATTTCCAGACGTTTTGGATGAAATTTCGAAAACTTTCTCCGAAAAACCGAAGAGAAATATTAACAATTTTTCTTGAAAATTTTCGGTTTTTTTTTCTTGAAAATCTGGCAACTCCTGATGGTTCATACGGCGTTCTTCCTTAGCACGACAGAATTGCCCCGAATACCCGCCTCCCATCATTTCGGTTCGCTCCTAGCAATCCAAATGTTACCGGTTCCACCGCACCATTCTGTTCTGAGACCGAATTTTCTCGGTGAACTTAATGAGGGTAATTTGAAACGCCTCAGGTTCGATAAATTTCGGAACCTCCTAATATTCTGGTTTAGTTTGTGGATCAACGCACGCAGCTCTGAGTCCAAGACCTGAGCTGGCCACGAATCTTGGTAAAATGTTACTTAGCTATCTCCAATGGCGTGCATAGCACGCGAACGAATCTGCAGAGTACATGATAAGTACAGTATTATGCATCTCATTAGATCAGTGCTCCGAGGCATCTAATCGTAAAATTTTTCCCATCACAACCTCTTGTATCTTCAATAAAGCAGGGTAACAAGTTCATTGAGAACTAGAAAATTTTGCCCACCCTTGAAAGTCGGGGTAAAAGTCACGGACCTTTGCTATACAGGACCGTGACTTGTTTTCTTACTTCTGGAGCATTGCATTATTTTAATTTCAAGCGACTTTGCGCGTAAAATGTTTTGAGTTCAGAAGTTTGAATGCGTAATTTTCCCAAAAAAGTACCCAAGATTGTCGGCAAATTGATGTTCAAATTTCCTGTGAAATCGGGGAATTTCGAAATTTAAGAAAACTTGTCACCCTAAGAAAAGATACGATATCGACGGTGAAACTACCAAACCACGTATCTCGTTTGCGGTGTTTAAAAATCTACGCTCGCATTTTATTTTTTTGAAGTTGACCAAAACAATATGATTCCTTGAAATTTTCACAGAATTTTCTCCGCACAAAGAGGAAAAATCACAGAAATTTTCAAGACTAGACGTTATAAGTAGTTTTTCATTTAAAAAATCAAGTATGACAGGAAGTCTGCGACGTCGCAAGCCGAGATACGTGGTTTGGTAGTTTCACCGTCGATATATCAGTTTTCACGAACTTGAGGAATTATTTAAGAAGTAGCGCGGAGAAGGGAGAAGAAATAGTACAGCAGTGTGTACTTGAGCAAGGAAGCATCGAAAAATAATACCGGCGTTTTCTTCCTCGTCCAACTATGTATTTGAAATTGGCAATATGATTATCTGTTTTGCACCGTGACATGATATTTTAATGAACGATCGCAAATAACTAACTGTAGCTCTGTATTTTTGTTTCAGGGACTCCTTTCCTCCACCACCTCCTCCTTGTGCTACCACCTTTCATAGTGTTACCCCTCCCTCTCCAAATTTCGACGCCCCACCTCCTCCTTTACCACCTCTTACCAATGGAGGACAGCCGGTAGAAATGTTCCAGGAACCCGTGGAAGAACAGGTAAGCTTTATTCAATCTTCACTTCTTTTTTTGCCTTTTTAATGTCCAGTGAATTTCTAAAATTCATCGTGACCGTCGGCGGAACCAGAGGTATCATTTTATGGAGCCGAAGTTTTCAGTTTTTTTCAGCCGAAGTTTTGTTAAGCATGGGGCTCCTTAATTTCATCACTCGGAGAGATTCTTGAAATAATAAAACACACGAATGAGGTGATTCAAGAACGCCTTATTGCTTTTTAACTCACCGCACAATTTGGTATACAAGATTGTGAATTGAACAGTCAGGCAAGACTCAAATTAAGTCCCGTTCACGAGTGAAAAATACAAGCATCAATCCATTGTTTGTTTGTTTTTGTTTTTATTTTATTTGCTGAATTCAGATTTTTTATCCGTAGGTCAATATTTTGAAGAGGAGAATGTAAAAAATTGGGACGTACTGGTTTAATTAAGCTGTAATGAATGACAAGTATTTCACTCGCACTTGCAGTCATTCGATGAAATGAAGTGTGCAAACCTCCGCTATTACGGTTCGCGCTTTTAGATTTCGCTATTACGCGAAAAATTGGTCACTCTCCGTCGTAAAATTAGCTTTTTAAAAATTTTTCTCGGTTGTAGTTCTCGGAATGAGGATGATAAGCTTCATTAAGTGAGGAAATCAATCTAGCTCTCGAACTTTCGTCAAATGTCAAAATACCTATACATAAAATTTCTAAGATCGGTAAAAAATCCTTTTCTTCAAAATTTTCACCTTTTTGGCGACATAGAGACGCTTTATCACCCCCCCTCTTCATCCGCAATGTGCCCCTCCCTCAGAAGAGGTAGTACAGCCAATTTTTAAACGTGCGCCCCTTTGATCGCTTGAGAGACCTCTAACATTTTTGTTTCTTTTCAAAATGATAATTGATTAGGGCATCTCCTATTTTCGGCTTTGTTGCTCACGTAGCCCTTGAAGAGCATTCCTAAAAATGAGACAAAAGAAACTAACACAATATGGAAATAGAGCAAATGGAAGGACGGCGCAGAGATACAACTATTCGTACTTGATGGATGTCTGGGTTGCATCTGCAAAATTGAAGGCGCGATGGCGCGAGCAGTGAATTCGCGATGTTCCGCAGCTCTGCTTTATGTTGCCAGTGCGGTGTCGTGAGAAAAGTTAAGAAACAAGACTCGATTATTAAGGCCCTCCTATTTACAGCTGTGTTGCTCATACAGTCTTTAAAGCACCGCTACAAATACAAATAAGACAAACTGAAACAAATTCAGTATGGAAATAGAGCAAAGTAAAGGGAAGCGCGTTGAAGACGGCGCAGAGATACAACTATACGTACATGATGGATGTCCGTGTTGCATCTGCAAAATTGAAGGCGCGACGGCGCTAGGCGTGAACTCGCAATGTTCCTCTCTATGCTGCCAGTGAGGTGTCGCTCAGATTCGGGAGAAAAATTTTAAATGCCCGATACCGTCTCGACTTTGTTGTTCCTTAATTTTTTCTTCTTTTATCAATTTGAGGTTTGATTCTTTTTTAAATGCACAAATATTTTACAGGCATACATCTGCGGCTCGTATGTACCACGGTTCCTCACAACTCGCGTGGCTAGTTTTTTAAACAAGTATCCTGGCAATTTGATCGGGCTTTAGCTTCTAAGGGTTAATGAAAATATCATTTAAATATGACTGCACCTTGTTCGCCAAAAACTCAGGATTCAAGAGGGGATCCAAAATAAGCCATTCACAACTAGTCGGTGAATTTTAATAAAATTTAGTTTTGTTTAATCTTGCGAAATTAGGCTCCAAATTTTCGGTGGCATCCCAAAATATTGTCATTGCCAACAAAATGATTGTCGAATGGTACCTCCTGCTGCCTGCTTAAGATCCTGGCTCAGTAAATATAAATGTATTTCTATTTCTTTATTTTTACTTTTCTTACTGAACACCTTGTCTCTCCTCACCTTGTACTTTCTAGATTAAATGTTTCATTTTTCGATGAGGTTCAAAAGATGAAAGGGAAAACTTGGGTTTCTCATCAGGGAATGAGCTCCTGGAATTCAGGGAAAATTAGGGAATGAGCCTGGTCAAAAATTCTAGACATCATGCCGTTATCGCGTTTAACCCAGAGCAATCCAGACGCTGGCTGCGAGTGCAAGTGCTTGGTGACGTAATTAGAATGTTTTTCGGCATTGTGTCTGGAGCGTGGAGCGTTCTCTCGGAGGTCAAGATTTCATCTCAAGGGCTGATTTCACCTCGAGGCGTGCGTGACGTTCCATCACGTTTTTCATGTCTCGTTTATCGTATCGTCCACCACGTGAAAAATTAGTTTATGAAAGAGAGGCCCCAACCGTGAACTCTAAATTCGTTGTGACCACGTAGCATTCCCAGGACCGAGGAACAAGGAACAACATGCCGCTTAACTGACAATAGAAAATTTGCAGGTGTCTGAAATTTGATGAATTTCGTGTTTTAGTGGAAACACTGGAAAAAAAACACATTGGATCTAGAGTCCAGACTCTTGATAACATTGACAAGAAAAAGGACTCTTGATTCAATCTGATTTAAGCTTAAATCAAAAGGAAATCCGCTCAAATTAAGAGGCTTGGTTCTTGATTTAAGCTAGATTCTGATTGAATCAAGAGTACTTTTTCTTGTCGATGTTTTTAAGAGTCTGGACTCTAGATCCAATGTGTTTTTTTTTCCAGTGTGGAAACTACTGAGTGAACTGAACACGAGGATACTCTTGGTTCATGAATTGTACAATTATCGGAGAAGATATGACAACATGATCTAATCTGCTAAAATACGTGTGCTTAAACGGGAAATGCCGCCAGATGACGTCACTAGGCCGTAGGCGGTGCATTTTCTCATTTTTAAATCGATTTTTATGGTATTTCCTATATCAGAAAAAAATTATAAAAAATACTGTGAACTTAGCTCTTTAAGCACTCTCAGTTAAAACAATAAAAAATGTGCACGCAAATTCTCCATTCTTGCAAAAATGAGCTAGCGAATTTGCTGAATTCTTAAGTCAAAATTCCGCTAGCTGATGTTGTTGGCATTTTTCGAATTTTGCATGGTAGCACCGTAATTAAGCTGTGATGTATAAAACAAATTGCTAATGCAACCTCTAAATTGTAACAATGGCGAAGTCTTTTCTTCATCCTGTAAAATTTTAAGTCTGCAGTTAAGCTGTATTGAAGAAAAGAAGCAATGTAAGATGATGTTTTGTTCAATGGTGAGGGGAAAGTCTGGGAAAGTTAGAGAATTGAAAAATAGAACAGTCCGGAAATGGTACTGTTTTTTTTAAGGGCGGTCCGGAAGTGCTGAGAAAGTGTGGAAATTTCGCAAGAGGGTCCGGAATTTTTTCCTTCATATACACGGAGGAAGAAACTTCGTGCGTGGGACCCGAAGTTGAGGTTGTATGGATCTCTGAAGTTTTCGGATCACGTATCTAGAAACTGGAGGTCCAGCTGCCGAAGTTCGGGTCAGACATCTCAAGTACTTCGATACATACCGAAGGGTTCGGGTCACACGTCTGAAGTACTCCGGTACATACCGAAGTGCCTCGATGTCTGACCCGAACTTCGGCAGCTGGACCTCAAGTTTTTATATACGTGATCCGAAAACTTCAGAGATCCATTTGACCTCAACTTCGGGTCCCACGCACGAAGTTTTTTTCTCCGTGTACCACGTTTCTTCTAATGAAGCGTGGAAAGTATGCAACCCTCTACGCGTTGATTCTTAGAGCAGTATTTGCCTGCAAGATCGCGATCGTGCAGCCAGTTAATCTTTTTAGCGTTCAGCCCACGTACAAACTAAACGCTTCAAAGAGACTCATCGGTTACCCCGACTTGCACCGCTGGCCAATGGGAGAGCCGGGAAAGCCATCGACGAGCCTCTTTGAAGCCTCTAGTTTGTACGTGGGCTGGACGCGTATGCTACCCATGAAATTTTGCGTTTACGTCATTTCTATCGCAATTCGAGTGAGAATCTCAAATTTTCGAAATGTGTTGGATTTCGTCAAATGAAGATTCTGACAAAGTATCGAATTTTTCTGTTGAGGAAGCACTGAATTTCTCGGGAATGTACTAAAAGAGTCCCAAGTACTGATTTTTGGGCAGCTCGTTTTGGTAGACACCCTGATAACGTGTGGTGGTAATTTACACCTTTAAGCAGACGCTTTACCGACCTATCAACTCGTGAGTCTTGGTCCCCAGTCGTATTCGATCTTCGACCACTGCTACGGCTTCGCCGGACTCCTAATCCAATTACGACGCCACCCTCGTCACCTCCCTCGAGAGAGGCTCCCCTTTCCAGCCGGGCTGACCAACAGTCAGTCTCGGGTTAACCGCGGGTTTTTGTCCATCCCTCTCGCATCAATCAAAGTCCGAGTAGGAGCTCCGAAAAAAATACACGCCGGCACGTGTTATATTGCACAACGTTTAACAATAAAAAGCTAAAAGTGCTCAACCGCTGAAGTTCCCGGAAGAGGATTCGGGGAGTGTTGTGTCGCGTTGGTGCGAGGGCCGAAGGAGCAAGTTGATACTGTAGATGGTTTTGTGAAACGTAATCAGATCCTAAAGTATGAATCAGTCGATGTTCTCGGATAGTATTATAAAATAATGTTTGAGATTTCCACAGTTTGGAATTAAAAAGTGAATTTTGGTTCCTTGAGAACTAATACATCTCCCTATAAAAGAATGCCACCAATTCATGTTCACTAAGAAGTAATATTGAGGCAATCAGCTTTGATTTGTCAAAAATTTAGAGCGTCATTTGGTTAAATTGATGTAATTCCAGGCTATGTCCGATTTTTTATTAATGAGTCTTACCTAGCTGACATGAAGAGATTTGTGAAATGTAATCGGTTCCTAAGTGATGAATTGTTCGATTTTTTCGATCCTCCAGAATTCGATATTCTTTCACATTATAATGTGATGATCAGTAGAACTTCTTTGAATTATACTTCGAGCAACTTTGAGGGGGTAATCCGGCACCTATAGTTAAAGCCA